AATATATTTAAAATAGAATGAGAAACAAGAATTTTGTATTGAGAAGTTTATAAACTTATACCTTTAGCTAACGGAGACAGAGCTAGACAATGTGTAATAGCTCCACCAGCACTTTCTCCAAAAATAGTGACATTTCCTGGATCTCCACCGAATTTTAATATATTTTTTTGGACCCATTTTAATGCTAAGATTACATCTTTCAGACCTTGATTACCTGCTGCCATTTTATCGTTGAGGTTTAAAAAACCTGAAATCATATTAATTTTTACTCTTATAATATTGATATATATTATGGCTAAAAATAAATGATAAAAAAATAAACAAGACAAATATTTGTTTTTGAGTTAATAAATTAAGTATAATTCTATATCCTTTTTCATTTGTAAATAATCTTTTGCTTTTTAAGGCATTTACTTCAATTTTATAAATATTTGGGGTAATAAATAAATAAAAAAGAATATTTATTTTTATTTAATATTCTCGATAATAGGTAAATATATTTTAACTTTCCATTTTTACATTCTATATTAATATTTGATAGTAATTTGTTAACGTAAAACGCTAGATTATTTGAAATATTAAAACTATAAATCTAATGTGTGCTCATATCCTCTGAGGAAAGACTTAGATAAGACTATAAATGCGAGTAACATACAAATACCCATCAAAATAATAAATGACGTACCTAGAACGCCTAATCTATAATTCAAAGTAACCAATACTACGTCTTTTTGCACGATATAATCGGGACCGTACCAAGCTGCATCACCGGAACCTATAATAAACCCACCACCATGTATCCATACCATTACTGGACGCTTTTTCGAGGATTCAATTTTTGTAGTATATACATTTAAATAAAGACAATCTTCATTTCCTATAATTTTATGTGTGACAAGCTCTACTTGAACAGCTATATTTCCGTACTTTGACGCGTCTCTTTCACCAGACCATGGTTCCGCTGGTACTGGTTCCTAAATATATAAAAAATATATATATATAAATAAATGAACATAACGGAATATATTTAGTTAAAAAAATATATGTATTTTAAAGTTATAAATTTTTTCTTATCGCGCGCATAATTAATTTGAAGAAAATTAAGACTTTCTTTCAATTTAATTAAATCTAATTAATTCTAATTTTAAGGCAGATTAGTTAAAGTTTATCATTCTATTATTATTAATTACATTGCGTGCTTGTATAACGACAAGACACTAATTAACTAAATAATTTATTACCTGAAATCTAAGTTCGCCAATTGGAGGTTTGGCATATGGTATTCCGCGAAAGGCAAAGTAATGAACGTTGTAACCATTTACGAGGACTCCGACCAATTTTCCTTCAGCTACTTGTACTTTTATTTCGCTCATAATGGATATATACTAAGAAGTAAGTAAGAATAAGGATGAGAACAACATTAAAAGGTCTACCCATGTTCATTATAATTTATGATGTTTGTAAATATATATACTTTTTAATAATATATTTGACTTTCATTTTGATATTTTTTTATATTACAAATTACCATTTTATTACTGTTTTTATGTTACAAATATTAGTTGTAACATTACATTAAATATTTCAACTATTAATATTGGTTACGTAAAATGAGATTAAATATAAATTTTTGAAATTTTGAAATAATTGCTTGACTGTAAGTTCAAGAGTTTTATCTCTTGACGATATATTTTTCAGATCGATGTTTTATCATTTTATCTCTTTACAATATTAGATTTTTCAAGTCGATGTGTCATGTGATACAATGTGTAATTTTATTTTTTAAAAACATGATTAGAAACATCATGTATTGAACAAGTGAAATGTCACGAATGTTTCCGTTGTATTTGTGTTGTATTATATTGTCTTCTTGAGATTGCTTATAATCTTAATCGATAACTACAAAAACAGTGATAATCGAATAATGTTCCTTAAATTCAGTGGAAATAAAACTAAATATATGAGCTGTATTTTCTATGACGCGATACAATGTTCATATCATATATATTAATTCTGTAATATATATGATATAATTAATTGGTTTTGTTTTTATAGATTACGTCACATGGATTATGTAAGCGAACTCGATAGATTGCAACAGCATTATTTATTAGGCGCAGAGCCTATACAGACTTTTGCATAACGCATAACACGTAAAAAATAATTATGGAATTAGTTTTATATGCTTCTAAGTTAAAACTTAATCTACAATGTGTTCTTTGCTTCTTTCTTTTTTACCTCATGTCTCTCTTTCTTTTGCAACCGTTCTATCGACAATTGCGTTTCTTTTTAAGTTGCTTGTTTCTTTTGAAGTTTGTTAAATTTTATTTCGGGCGACAGAAAACAAAAAGCTGCAGATAAAAGATAAGAAATAAAAAGTGATAAAAAACAAATAGGAAACAAAAAGCACATTGTCGATTAGGCTTAAAAAATTAACTGAGCAGAGTCCTTTACTTTATATTCCTTAGTTGCTTTGCTTATGTTTTATGCAACGTTAAGCAAAATCTATGCTGCGACTTTTATTGTACGTCTATAAGGTTAGAATATCGCATTATAAATGCATAAATCTATTCGTAAAATTATAAGGAAATATTTTAAAAAGATCTTATTTACCTCTATGCTCAAGTAGTTTTGTGATATTGTTTTCAATGATCTTTTTTACCCGATATTAATTGAATAACATGCGCGTTTTAATTCTCCAAAGAAAACTGGCTGGACTTTCAAGAATGCCTGCCAGTTTTATAATCCTCCATTGAATGTACAAATATATAAATTGATATAGAAAAAGGAGAAATATCTGATTTATGGGACACTTAGTCTGTTTCGTTTTTATGATTAGTATTTTATTATTATGCAACTTGTATTTTCCTGTCTTTAATCAGAAGATGTTAGTTTATTTAACTCAGGACATTTCTGATATTCTTATCTTATAAAACTAAAATGAATCTGAAAAATTTGAAAGAAAATAGATAACAAAACTTTACATCACTTTCATATGATGATATAATTTTTGCAATAAATATGTATACGGATAAAACATTTTATGCGATATGTGACGATTGGATTTGCTCTTTTAATTATCTTCAAATGTGAATCGCATTTCAAATTTACTTGAAATAATTCACACAACGATATAAATCTATATTGAAATAAGTATTCTTTTTGCTAGAATTATAGACAATATTTTATTTTATAAAGCTTGTAAAGCGATATAAAAAATATTATTCCGACGGAAATATTATAATAATTTTGACGATAATAATTATAGTGTTCCAGCAAAAGTTTATGATATTTAAAAAATTTGTTATTTAGTACACAATACAATCAATACAATAATAAATTTATAAAATATATTTAAAAATATGAGTTACTCAATTCATATAATAATTAAAATGTTTACAAGAATTAATTATAAATTTTTGATACAGTTGTTTACTAATGAAATATTATACTATAAACATAAAATTATTTTAATTACATCAAAATACATACGTGTTACTAGTATCATTACTAGTATCGTTATTTATTTCTAGAAATTATATAAAATCATATGAAGATGTTACAATATTGTAAAAACATTGTTTCTATTTTAATTGTTTTACGATAAAGCTTTCGAAAATAACATCGTGAATCTGACTTATATAATTTTTGTACGCATCACACATATATAACCTTCATAATCTATTCTTATCTCTTTAAGAGTACATCTTATATAATAACTTAACAATTTTGTAATTAATTTATAATATCTTATAATATAAAAATATATAAAATATAATATAAAAATTGATTTTAAATATCGGCTTCCGTAATCATGAAATTAAAATGCGGACATTAAATGTCTGTAGGTTCTGACAAAAAACTATAATCAAGAAAATTATCCCGTCTACATTAAGGAACTTCTCTATTTTAGAAACAAGAATTGATTTTGTTTTATGTCTCTTATATTTTTTTTAAATGTCTGCAAAATATGATTTTCAAATTTCATCGAAAAATTTATAATACTGACGATATTATAAAAGAGAGAGAATTAAGGCGATTTTAAATTGAATTACATTAGAGTAGGACTACAAAAATAGACCTTTCTGTAGTGAATCGAATATAACAGATAGAATTTTTTTTATCAACAAAGTTACAAATGTTTAAAGGCATTGACACAAATATGTAGGCACGCGATACTATCATACTTCTATATATATGAAATTTGAAGGTTAAAGGTAATTATAAAAAAAAAATGTATTTAATTTAGTATATCTTTTCTAATTTACATTATATAGTATATTAGTATTCTTCCAACTTAAATTATTTCTAATTCAATTTAGTATTCTCCTAATTTACAAAATGCATGCAAACTGAAACATTTTTATTTAAACAGCCAAATATAATTTTAAAAAATAATAAAGACTATTAAAGACATTTTTTAGGTGATTAAGAAAATAAAATGCAAGTAAATAATTTAGACAAGAAAAAATATCTTTTGATGGATAGCGAAACAGGCAATATAGATATTTTATTTAAAAGCATTCTCTACATGTCAAAATATAAGAATTTTTATGAAGTTTTAAAATTAATTATTTATTGAAAAAATTTATTGAAAAAATATCTGAAATAGAGAAAATATTTAAGTTAACAACGAAGATTTTAAGTATTTGACTTTGAAATATACATATTCTTCAAAAAAATTATCGAAATAACAGATTTCGTAAATGCTTCTATCTCTCTAATGAAATATTTTGTATAATATTGATCATTTCCAATCAAAGTTATAGAACGATATTGTACTGATAACACTTGCAACATTAATATCGATTGGTTTTTACGTTTTGATAACCTCCAATAAAATAAATGTACACACATAAGAATGTACGGTTTATCATATAACATTTGATCTATAATATAATCTTTTATTATATCAAATTTTTATTATATGTAGCATGTATGATAAGATGAAACATAATTCACTGTACTTAGTAGTATTCTAAAATTATTTAAAAGTTATTCATAGTACGAAAAATATTTTAAATAAAAGTTACATAGCATGAATAAAGAGAATGTACACTTAAAGTGAATAAATGATAAAAAATATGAAGATTTATATATCAAATTGAGGCAATATGGAAAAATCTTCTTCTATTTCTAAACAACAACAGACAAAAGATGCAACTTCAAAGTATGACACCTCTCTACTAACAGGTATATCTCGATTAAAAATATCGTACGTTATCCATTCAAATTAGATTTTACAGGGAAATAATAGTACTTTACGATGACATAAAAATTTTGATAAAACTTTGACAATTTTTTAAAGCTTCGAAATATTAAAATTTATTTTTTCTTTTATAATATTATGTCTATTTACTTGAATAATGCATTTAAAATAGATTTAGAAAAGTAGTATTTAGAAATGCTTTTAAACAATATTGTTGTCTATAAGTTATTCGCTTTGGTAAAAATTACTAATTGTATCGATATTTATGGTTTTTTAAAAGACAAAAATGAAATATGTGCCAAAATATGATTAGGCCACGTGAAATCTTAATGTAAAAATCATTGATTCTGTCAGACAGAGAGATTGGAAGTCTTGCGACAAGTACTTTAAATATATATTCACATACATATAGACATATATTATTCAGTTCGCATTATTAACAAAGAAAAATAATAATTATTTTTACTTGTCTCACTTTATATACTTAAAAAAATAGTTAATACATTGTTCGTTCCTGATGGCCTCACTGGTAAGATAATGCACAATGTTATTATTACATGTCGTTATGCAAGTTTAAAAAATATTGCTATACTATTGTTAGTTACTACAAACGTATAATAACGCTATTATAATAAGACCTTTATTGAGGTTAATTATTATTATCGATAGAATAATGAGATGTTTTAAAAACATTTTTATGTGCATTACATTTAAAAAACGGTATAAATACCAAACTATCATTTGTGACATAAATGTTCACCATTGTAGTTATATTTGTTATTGCAATCCAAAAAGTTATACCTAATTTTAAAAAGACGTACGTTTTCAAAAATTTATTCATTATTGGAACTTGTTGTATTCAACAATTAGATATAAAAACTTTCACTTTCATTTATATATACACTGTATGTGCTAAAACTAAACGAAAAATTGCTGTCCAAAGCAACTTATTGTATCTCATAATCGTAAAATGCAATTTATTACAAAATCAGAGAGGAACATTGAGCTGCAGCAAAATCTATTTTATTAACAATAAAAACAAAGAAACTGAATGCCACAGTTTATTTTTTGTATAACCATTAATAGTGAGTCGCACTATTTGATACTTATGAAATTCTTGGCAGTATCTTACTTGAAACTTTTTTGCTGCAACTACATCATAAAATGATATAATCTCAACGAACACAAAATAACAACACTGTAAAGAATAGGTGATTTTTTTTCAATAAACATTTAATAAAAAGAACATTTGTGCAATATTTTTCTAGGGATTCATAATTGTAACTTTCAAGACGAACTCGTATCTTGATAAAATGAAATATCTTTTGTGTACCTTGCTAATTCTGTGGATGGCAACTGTGATTTTTGGATTTAAAGTGAATTATATATATAAATGGAAATATGTCGATTTTATATGGGAAAGTAACGAGCAGAAGGAAGACGCGATAAATTCTGGCACTTATAATCGTTCTACGTGTATATTATTCGATGTAGATAAAGCTAAAGGTAAATGAATGATAATTGTAAAAGTTTACAATAATTTTCTATAGTAATATTCTTCTAAGTAAAAGCTTATCTTATAGTCTTTAACCACTAATCACATTATATGAATCTATGCGTTTTAATAAATGCACTTTGATAGTTAATGCAAGATATACCACTACCATGAATTGATGATTAAACATAACTTTTAATGGCACATAAGTTCCGTTCACAAACAAGATTCTTATAGATGGTAGAATATTTGTTACTGCTACGAGAGAACTAGGTCCTAGTGTACCTGCTACTTTGGCGATAGTAACTAATGAAACAGGACCAGGAGGACCACTTTTGCGACCATATCCAAATTGGAGTTGGCATAATAATAATTGTACGTGCGAAGGCATTGTAAATGTGATACGAGTACACGTAAGTATCTATTTTTTGCGCATTCAAAGGTTTTTATCTCATATTTGTTTATAATGATATTTAAATGATCAATAATTTATTCTATGTATGTAATGCATATTTACATGTGCACATTGTAGTCAATTGGATAATATATAAAATTAGAACTTGCTTTCATTCTAGATTCGATGCAATCACATCTTCGCTCTGGATAGTGGTAAAATTGGGCCTGATCACATTTGTAATCCAAAGCTATTAATCTTTAATTTGAAAGATGATACGCTAGTAAAAACTATTTATATTCCATTTGATATTGCTAGTAATGCAACGGGTTTTGGATCATTAATAACGCCTTTCATTTATGTTTCCAAAAAATGCTCGCAGTTTCTGCATAAAATGATTGTTAGTGCGTCTTCTCTTGTATAAATCATAATAATAGATACATAATAATAGATACATAATAATAGATACATCCAGACAAATATTATTTAACTTACACGTTTAACTATACATCTCATATATTTTTGTTTTAAATAATTTAATAATAATAAATCTAATATAAATATGTATAAATATTTATGAATATTTGCAGATATTCATAGCTGATGTACAAGGTAAAGGTTTAGTGGTGTATGATTCATCTGTAAAAAGTATGTGCAGAGTCGAATCTGATTACATGATACCGACCGAAAATTTAGCCTCCATAGCAAATCAAACATTTCCTTATAATGGAGGTATTTTCAGTGTAGTGACCCTTTATAATGGTAAATATTTGCATTCTATCTCAATAAATATTATTTTAAATTTATGCAATTTATAATATTTAATCTTATCATATATGACAAGTGATAAGAATCTTAACTTTACTATTAAAATCTGACATTTATACATTTTTTACATCTATATTTTTTTTTTTTTTTATTAATATTTATGTACATTTGTGTTAATGCACGTTTATAGAACATAAAAGATTTCCTTGCAATTAATCAGTAGAATTTCCTTAATCTATGATTTTTTATATATTTTTATATTTTAGAACTTTATTATGTTACTACGCCGGGAATGAAAATTTATAAAATAAAAATCAAATCACTACTAAAATGTCCAAATATAGAAGAGGCTAATAAAAAAACTAAAGTCGCGATTAAAATACCAAGCGATTCAGGACAAATCGCATCAGCAGGACATTCAATATTTTACAGTGATTCTGATAGAAATGCTGTTTTAGGAACGAATGTTTTTAAAAAATCTGGCAAAAACACGGTAAGATCCAAATACAATTATTCTTTACTTTTGAAGTGATAATAGATTATTCTTAATTTTTTAACAATTATTTAACTTAATCATATTATTGAGTATGAGAAAAAGTTCGTGGCGATTTTTTAGTAAAATTAAAGTGTTTTTCTTAGAGTATTGAAATCAATTTATTTAAACCAAATATGCTCCATTATTTTCTATAATATTTTGCCATTTTTGGGGCAGAGCCATAATTCCAATCGCGATAGAACTTCTGTGGTTTCTGATCGAAAAACTGTCTCAAGTTTTCACAGGCCTCTTTTGAAGCTAGCTTTACACCATTAAAAGAGTTCTGCAGAGATCTAAACAAATGAAATAATCTGAAGGTGCTATGTCAGGATACGGTGGATGCATTAAAACTTCCCAGCCAAGCTCTCACAATTTATGCTGAGTCATCAAAGATATGTGTGCTCGAGCGTTATCGTGATGGAAGACGACACCTCTCCTATTGATTAATTCTGGCCACTTCCTCTCAATTGCTTGTTGTAATCTCTGCAGTTGTTCACAGTAGAGTTCAGAATTAATTGTTTGATTGAACGATAACAGCTCATAGTAAACGATTCTCTTCCAGTCTCACCACACACACACACAACATTACTTTCTTCCTCATCAATCCAGGTTTTGCGATTATTTGCGCCTTCTCTCCTTTCTTTATCCACGATCTTTTTTTAGTTAGATTGTCGTAGGTGATCCATTTTTCATCAGTTATCATTCTCTTCAGAAATGGCTCAATTTCATTCCGTTTCAGTAGCATATCACAAATGTTAATTCGGTCCATCATGTTCCTAACACTCAACTCGTGAGGAACTCAATCAATCAATTGAACCTAAACATCGAGCTTCTTTTTGTATCCAGCTTTGTGTAAATTGTTTTAAAACTGTTTCGTGATCGATGCTTAGTTCCCTGGCAATCTCCACAGTGCTCATATGCTTATCACTTTCGACTTTTACCATGATTTCATCGGACTTTCAGATTAGTCGACCGGAGCGAAGTTCATCTTTCATATCGAAATTTCCACGAAAATGAGCGAACCATTTCCGTGTTGCTGATTTTGATAGAGTATCTTCACCGTAAATAGCGCAAATTTTTTCACAAGCCTATGCAGCATTCTTGCCTTTATCATAGATACTGCAAAACGCGAATTTTTTCGTTATTTATTTCCATTTTCAAAATAAAATAACTTTTGATCCACTTCACCGATTTGAATCTTTTTCGGCTCAAAACAAAGGTTAAAAAGTCACTTTTTAAACGCACGTCTAGTGTTGCCGATGCGATTAGTAGTTGCTGAGCTGCTGAGCATTTAATGCCATCTAGTGGGAAAAATGCCACGAATTTTTTCTCACATCCAATATTATCCATTGTAAAAAAATATTAATTTTTAGGTGATACTTGCACAAAATGATAAAAAACTTCAAGCTGTAAGTTCGCTAAAAACTTCATATTATTGGAATAAGTTGATAGGCCTATCAGATAGATTTCATCGTTTCGTTCTTGGTACTGTAAATCTAAATGAAGTAAACATCTACTATTTCGAAATGGATTTAGCAGAAGTACAAAAGAAGATGGATTCGATTCCTTAAAACGCGTGTGTTAATTTTCACAAACATTTCACAAACATTTTTACACAATATTATTAGTACTACATACATTGCTTAAATTTATATGTTATAAATATAGAAGAATTTTACACACACACACACAAACACACACACACACAAACACACACACACACAAACACACACACGCGCACACACACATACGTACATAATTGTGTGTTGATGCAAATAAAATAAATGTATTACATGAAACATGTATTTCAAAACACTTATAATATAAAAAGATTAAAATTCTACCAAGCTTTTCTCTCTTTAACTGCTATCACTTGAAGTAGTCTTCTTGCATATAATGTCGTTTTTAATGAGCATTATGTATTTAAAAATAGCGCTTCTTTCTGGGAAAAAATTTTTAATAGTTCTGAATATCTTCAAAACAGTGTCTTTTTAATTTTTCATTTATATTTAGGTATAAAAAATGTCGTACTGAGTTAAATTTGGCGAATAACGAGGGTGAGAAATCACATGCCTTTAATTAGAAACTAGATGATAAATGCACTGTGAACCCACATTGTAATATTTTAGACAATATTTGACAGAGGCTATATATGTACCAATATATATACCAGTACTAAAAATTTATAGTGCCCGTATATTACAGGTTTTTAGTACCGATATGAATATGGAAATGCAACGAAGGTCATCAAAATTGATTGAAAAAGAACTTTCAGAATGCATTAGAGTAATAGCAGAAGCGATGGCACTAATTACATCAATGCACATAAGAATTACGTCAAGAGTGGTAGTTCATGGGACATACGAGTTTTGAATTATTTGTAACATCAGATTGGAGATTCCGAATGCCATTTTGTTTTCATTATTGATGTTTTTATTGATAATATGCTATGTATGGAACATATTAACCTTCATGAGTAATAATATCACTATATCTAATAAATATTATATTAAAGTCGATGCGCAAAATGAGGTTATATTTATAATTTGTTATATAATAAGATTTCTCGAAAACACCTTCATATTCATTTTAGAAGAAATATAAAAAACAAACTCCGCTCATCACATTCCTACAGCTCGATTTCAGCCGAAATCAAAACGTTATTATAACTATTGACGTTAGATGTAAACGCTTTTATAACATAGTTACTATAACATAGTTACTGTCGATGTAATAACTTTGTCATAACTACATACATAATATCTAATGTAGTTTAGTCAGTTATAATTTCGGCGTAAATCAGAACGTATAATCGTGTCTACTGATACGATTCAATAAACATTTTTTTTTTCTACAAACAATTCAAACAATCGATAATTGCGTTACATTGATCATTCAAGTGTTAATACAAAAAGATTTTATTATGGATCGTATTCTTTACTTAATTTAGTTTATGGGATTTAAGTTGACACCAGTTGTTAATATCAAATATTTTAAACAATAATACATATCATGAAAGTTGATATTATTTATTTAATTTGGTATCCCAATTACATGGGGATTCGTGCCAATTCGTGCCAATTGTTGATATCGAATCTTTTATATGAATGATATATACCATTAGTGTTAAGTAAAATAAAAACAGATAGTACTACTTATGTTTTACTTTTAATTGAATAGAATTTATCTTGATTAGAAAGAGTTAAGACTGCAGCATCTTTTAATTTTTCATTTGATACATTAGTTTTTTTCAAGAAGTAATAATTTTGACAGAGACAAATGCATTACAGAAAATAAAACGGCTACCTCGTTGTTCTAATGTGCGCAATAGTTATTAAAAAATATAATTAAAATTTAATTACAATATTGAATTAGAGATATAATTAGATAATAGATGTAACGTAACGATAGAAATATGCATCATTTAATATGTTCCAAAAATTTATTAAAAAGCTACAGTTAATTGTGATAAGATTTTATTTCGACGAACGAAGGTTGAAATGAGTCTCAATAATGATCAAAAAACAAATCAAAGAATTAGAAAAGTATATTAGACAAAGAGGAAATAGGTGGCAACGTGAACTGACGAGCGCATCTCGTTAGAAGTTCGAAAATCGCATCGATACTAGGACAGCATGTCGAGCGAGTAGATCACCAAATCGTCGTAACTGCGGAACTCTACTTATTATGTTCTCACCTCATACATGAATAGCTTTCAAGCGTAAATCAATAAGAACGCTAGCAGGTTCCCTTTACACGCGGCAAGAAGCCCATTGACCGCTCATTGACCAAAAACGATGCTACGCAGCGGCAAAGTGGGGATCGGTTGTCGCTTAGAATACCTCTGATAATACCTGCGCTCCTAATAATTCTGCCAATTTATACGAAATTTCTGAGAAATGGAGAATTTCTGTGAAATTCGACTCTCTCGTTTAACCTTTCCTTCCGAATATGTGTTTTTAATCACACAGTTTTCATACATTCAATTATTATATGTTTCTATACATTCTACGGAAGAATAATTAAAGTTTTTTATTATTTACTTATAATTGTAACATAATATCCGATTTATTTGAGTATTGTTTATTAATTGTGATGTATATATATATATATATATATATATATATATATATAT